GAGTCCAGCTACAGGCAGGAGGTGGAACACCTGGAGAGCTGGTGCAGGAAGAACAACCTTCACATCAATGTGAAGAAGACAAAGGAGATGATTGTGGACTTCAGAAGGAACAAACACGCCCCTCCTCTCCTGAACATAAGAGGATCTGTGGTGGAAGTGGTCTCCAGCTACAAGTACTTGGGTGTACACCTGAACAACAACCTCAGCTGGAGCAACAACACCACCAGCCTGATGAAGAAAGATCATCAGAGACTCTACTTCCTCAGACGGCTGAGACGAGCTGGTCTGGAAGCTCAGTCCTCACCTCCTTCTACAGGTGTGCAGTGGAGAGCATCCTGTGCTCCAGCATCAACATGTGGCATGGAGGCTGCACAGCTGCAGAAAGAAAAGCTTTGCAGAGAGTGGTGAAGGCTGCACAGAAGTCTGTCGGAATCAGCCTCCCCACCATCACAGACATCTACACCTCCAGATGCAGGAAGAGGGCCACCTGCATCATGAAGGACCTCACTCACCCAGCACACACACTTTTTGCCCCACTCCCCTCAGGAAGGAGGTTAAGGAGCATTAAGTGAAGAACCACTAGACTGAGGAACAGCTTCTACCCTGAGGCTGTTAGACTCATGAATCTCTGACCAGGAGAATCACTGTGAAGGTAAATGGACTGTACTTATATGGCCTCTTTCTATCTTATCAAGACACTCAAAGCTCTTTACACTACAATAACACCACTTTAACTGGAGATTTGTCACTTTATCTGTGCTGCTGATTATCCATGCTGCTGATTTCTTACCTTAAACTGTTGTATTCAAACCCATCTGCTCACAACAGACTCATGTTCAGGCTGCTCTTTAATACACCATATAATACTACATTATTATTGTTTTGCATAAATCTTAGATCCTTGTATACGTTTTATTTTATATACTTTATATTTTTGCTATTTTTTGGTATAACTGGGACCTTGAGTACACAACTTTGTTCTATCTCATGTACCACATGTGATGCAAATTACAATAGTCTCCTTGAACCAATTGTTTATTTAATGATCAAACATTGATCATTTCTTTAAAGATCAATTAAATTTAATTTAGTTTATTTACAAGTATATAGCATCAAATCACAACAAAGTTGTCTCAGGGCACTGAACAAAACATTCACATACATAGAAAAGCCAATTACTGTATTTTTCTCCGTACACGTCGCTCCGCCCTATAAGTGGCATCAGTCCATATTTGTCTGATAAAGTAGACAAATCCATAAATACGTCGCTTCAGCCTATAAGACGCAGGGCGTGCAAATGATGCAAAAAACCTAAGACTTATAGGCCGAAAAATACGGTAGTTGACTTATTTATCTAAGGAAGCCAGCAGACACGTTGAATCTGCACTTCATCACAGTCTCCCATTTTGAACAAGCACCAAGGAGACAGTGGAAAGGAAAACCTCCCTCATCAATCAAACATCAATCGTTTCTTTAAGGTTCAAATATAATCGTTATTTAATGATCAAACATCAACTGTTTCTTTAAACATCAAAGATCAGTCATTTAATTAATGATCAAACATAAATATTTTCTGTAATGATCAAAAACTCAATTGTTTCTTTAAAGCAAATGGAGTGTACTTATACAGCGCTTTTCTATCTTATTTCAAGACACTCAAAGCTCTTTACAACAATCTGTGCCTCATTGACCCATTCATACAGCTCTATACTAGATCGCTACAAAGATAATTGAACAAATCATTCTAAAGAGACTAATCAGATCTTCATCACATTCATACACTGATGGGACACATCAGAGGCTATGAGGGGTTCAGTGTCTTGCCCAGGGACACTTCAGCATGTGACTGCTGATGGATTCGAACCCCCAACTCTCACATTGGAGGACGACTGCTCTAACCACTCAGCCACAGCCGCCCCAAAGATCAAAGAAAAATTGTTACTTTAAAGTCCAAAGATCAATTGTTTCATAAAATTTCAACGATAATTTTTCTTTAAAGATCAAAGATCAAAAATAATTTTTCTTTAGAGATCAAAATCAATTGTTTCTTTAAAGATCAAAGATCAAAAATCATTTTTCATTAACGAGCAAAGATCAAAAATCATTTTTCTTTTGAGATAAAAAATCAATTGTTTCTTTAAAGATCAAAGATCAAAAATCATTTTTCTTTAGAGATCAAAAAATCAATTGTTTCTTTAAAGATCAAAGATCATTTTTCATTAAAGATCAAAGATCAAAATCAATTTTCTTAAGAGATCAAAGATAAATTGTTTCTTTAAAGATCAAACATATTTTTCTTTAAAGATCAAAAATCAATTGTGTCTTTAAAGATCAAAGATCAATTGTTTCTTTAAAGATCAAAAATCAATGGTTTCTTTAAAGATAAAAAATCAATTGTTTCTTTAAAGATCAAAAATATTTTATTTAAAGGTAAAAAATCAATTGTTTCTTTAAAGATCAAAAATCAATTGTTTCTTTAAAGATCAAAATCAATTGTTTCTTTAAAGATCAAAAATAAATTGTTTCTTTAGAGATCAAAAATAATTGTTTCTTTAAAGATCAATTGTTTCTTTAAAGATCAAAAATATTTTTTCTTTAGAGATCAAAAAGAATTGTTTCTTTAAAGATCTCAAATCAATTGTTTCTTTAAAGATCTCAAATCAATTGTTTCTTTAAAGATCTAAAATATTTTTTCTTTAGAGATCAAAAAGAATTGTTTCTTTAAAGATCTAAAATCAATTGTTTCTTTAAAGATCTAAAATCAATTGTTTCTTTAAAGATCTCAAATCAATTGTTTCTTTAAAGATCTAAAATATTTTTTCTTTAGAGATCAAAAAGAATTGTTTCTTTAAAGATCTAAAATCAATTGTTTCTTTAGAGATCAAAAAGAATTTTCTTTAAAGATCAATTGTTTCTTTAAAAATCAAAAATCAATTGTTTCTTTAAAAATCAAAAATCAATTGTTTCTTTAAAGATCTAAAATCAATTGTTTCTTTAAAGATCTAAAATCAATTGTTTCTTTAGAGATCAAAAAGAATTGTTTCTTTAAAAATCAAAGATCAATTGTTTCTTTAAAGATCTAAAATCAATTGTTTCTTTAGAGATCAAAAAGAATTTTCTTTAAAGATCAATTGTTTCTTTAAAAATCAAAAATCAATTGTTTCTTTAGAGATCAAAAAGAATTGTTTCTTTAGAGATCAAAAAGAATTGTTTCTTTAAAGATCTAAAATCAATTGTTTCTTTAAAGATCTA